GCGCCGCGATAAGCGGTTGTCACGCCACTGTATCCAAGGCACGCATCCTGGCCCGGCTGGCCGTGAAAACCAAATTAATTTAGTGTCTTGTGTACATAAATAGTTTTACTAATATGTGGTGTCTATATGGAAACAATATACTTACTTAAAATGATTTTTCTGATCGACATAGATTTATGATGTAGTAATGTACTATTGATGTAACGGTATATAATACTATAATATTGGGCCTGATATGTACTTCTGCAACGCGTTTTAAATTCCATTGTAAAGTATCAATGGTATTTTAGTTTGTGTGAGAATCGCATGAATGTAATACGAAATGCATGTAAAGGATGGATTATAGAAAGGTTTTATTCGTAGTAAGGACTTGCAAGGACAGCTTTATCGGAGGATTGTATGAAGAGCTATTCGCTTGTTACCACTCTTGGCCACCAAAGAAGGCCGCTAAGCAACGGTTAGCTATAGACTGAGAACGCGAGATTATTTTATTGATATTTTATTCCTAGAAAACAGTATTTAATTTCGATGTTTGATTTATCTTATAAACTCATTTCGTGTATTACACCATTTTACTTCATTCACGAGCTTTAGATATTCAAAAGTATTATTATTTTCCACATTAATATCTCGCATTCGTCATAATTAACCGTTCACATTTTCTTAACATAGTTATACGTGTTTAGAATAAGTTAGTGAGTTCCGATCACGTAGCGGGCGCAGCCATAGTACTAGTACCCCCGATTGTTTCCACTGATCAGTACATTCCCTAAGGTGTAGACGTCTTCCGCGAGGCTGCGTCCCGTGCAGCCGTAGGCTTGCGTCATTAGTACAAACCTTCTGCATTCACGGCCAATGACACGCGTGTGCGAGCTAATCAAGTCGCTGTTTGTCTGCAGAGTAAATAAGGAATTACCAATTGCGTTTATACGTCTCCATGCAGTCATGTAAAAGGATGTTTCGCTTATTTCACGCAGTTTAACTATTCCATTTTTAATGGCACATACAGTGTGCACGCGCGTCGCTGGCCGTGCGCGGGCCTGCTCGCCAGTACAACCCCACTCCTTGTGTACAAGTATTATGTATGTATTACGTAGTTAGGACGTCACTGCAATCGTATTCCTCTATATGTATGAAGACTGATGTTCAGAAACTACTTGAGATTAAGGGCTCACGCTCGCACGAGCATACTCCACGGCACGCCGGGCGCTCGCGCCTAGATGCTTCGATTAATCGCAACTTGCTTCTGAACTCACGAGTAGAAGTATCGTTAATTTTCAGTGCCAAATAATATTAGTAAGGTGTTTTCCGCTTGACTACCCTTACCACGGAGTATTGCTCAGAGAAGGCTCGGAGGAGCGAGGATTTTAGGTAATAGGGATACTTTGAGCCGATTGACACAGGAGCGTTGACTCGTGCGTTGGTTCGCAAAGTATCGTGGCTCAAGTCATTGCGGTCCGGCGCTCGCCGCGGCTCGAGAGCGTAGTCGTAGAGTAGCCGTAGTCGGCACGCTTGCGCAGGGTAGTCGGCTCTAGGGCGACTAGTCTTCCCGATCGCGATCCTACTTCCACCGCACATTCGCTCTACTTAACTTTACTAAACTTTCGGACCAATAGGCGCTTATTACTTGTTCACGTTCGTTTGCGCTGGCCTATTATTACTATGAATTTATATTATCGTTCACTCGCGCGCCTGTTTCTTTATTCAAAATTAACGATATTATTCGTTTATTCGCCGCATTATCTTGTATCGTACGAACAAACGTTTTTTTTTTCACTTGATTGTTTTAAGTTAGAGTTACTGTGATACGGCTTTTAAAATTTAATATAATTATTATGCTCAAGTTTTTTTCTTTATATTATTTCTTTCGATAAAATGTTTCGGGTATTTTAATGAAAATGCTATTATTATATTACTATCGACGACGTTCGTTTAGGTGATTGAACCATTCATATAAAAATTATTTAAGTATCTGCATTATGCTAGTCTCTATTATTATGGATAAATGTATTTCGTTGTAAGATTGAAATAAAAAAATATACGTAAGTTCTTCTAAAAATATTTTAGTAATCATTGTATCGTTAAGGTAATATTTTGTATTAGCTGACGAGAGCGCCCCCGAGGGCCTCGCACTCTGGATACAGTTGCGGCGCGCTTGCGCTGGAAGGATCGAATTTATCAGAAAGGGCGGGACCGGGAGTCGGCACGTGACATACAGCGTACCTCTCATTCCGCCAAACTATTTCAGCAAAATGGACTCAATAACCTCGCCTTGACGCTGGATCGAGCGACAGAGAATAGAAGAGTCGGTATACAGAAACAGTTTTGCGGAATAGAAGTCGTCCAATGACAGGGACTGCGTACATAATACTCTAATACAGCAATATCGACCGGAGCGTTTGCATAGTCGCGTTGGCTGGTACGGGTAAAAAGCGGTCCCTAATTTCGTTTTATTTCATAGCTGTTACTGTTTTATAAAAGTACTTATTGTAAGACTATATAAGTCGAAACTAAAACTAAATAAGTCTCATAAGCTTTCAATATAACATCAATTTTCCAATTTACTGCTACATTTACATTGTTATCTTCCCTGCTTATCAGTATTTACGTTATTTTTAGAAAGTCTCCAATATTTTGTTTAAATACACATCTTAGATTGTCATTTTGTCGACTCCATGGTTCTTGAGCGAGTTGTGTGGGATTGTCGAGAGCTGCGTTCAGAGTGTCTACAATCATAATATAATATTGTATGTCTATGTAATCTGTATAGCATGTATATTATGAACATGGTAGACCACTATTTGTACAAGCAAGCTATCTCTCCACCCTGGGTTGGTTTGAAGACGGTATTAGCTATTATTTCGAGCATTTTTTGTTCTATTATGTTTCCTGTATTGTGGGAAGTATTAGTTATTAGTTCACCAGGATGATGATATTTATGGCAACTGTTTTATTGACCTGTATTAATATTTGAAATCAAATTCAATTGAAATTATGATTTTACTAATTTAATTTTATACTACGTTAATTTTGATTGAAATTAATCTTAGTCATTAAGTTAGGAAGTGCCGTAGAGATGCATTTATGAAGGACTGCCAAGTTTAAGACGTTACTAACAATCGTGGAGTTACTATTACTAACTCACTAACAACTAGAGTATTGGAATTGAATGTATGTGGAGCGAAAAGCATAAATCATAGACTGTTTACTACTCAGTATTTAGTACTACTCGCAGTGGAGAGATGGTTCTGGCTTCTTTATTATACTAATATAATAGACCTTTAAGACCCTCCATCCAAAGATGAAATCGTCAGGTGAGCCTTTGTCTAAGAACAATTAAGCCTAAATACGCTCAGCGGATACCGAATGATAACAAACAATCTTGGATTTAAATATACTGATGTTTGGGTTAAATAGAAAGAAATGTGTAACAGTTCAAAGGCTCATCTGGAGAAACAGTTCGGCCCAAGTGGCCCCCGCATACACCTGTCCCTCGCGGTAGCGCATTTTCTTACATAACTTTTCAATTCCTATCATTGGAGTTCCGAAAATATTTCTCATACAATTTGATACCATAATGATCATTCTTCATAAAAAATTTAAAACCTACATATTTAAAAACATAATCATTGATATTCATAATATCACTAATCATACACTTCGTTTTTACTAATATTTGTTTTCATATATTTTTCTATACTAATGATCGAAACTCATAATCATTCGAATAAATAACTATAATATTCATAAATGTGATGTATCCTAATATTTGTTTTCATAAATTTATTACTCATAAGTGTATTTATCCATATTATTGAAAATCATGATGTCTATATTAGTATTAAATCGTATTTTAACATGAAATTAATTTGAAATGGTCCAAACAGGCAATATTTTGTGCCACAAAACTAACGTGACAGAAACGAATCGCTGCAAAACCGACTCCACGTAGTCTTGTCTGCCCTACCCCTAGAGTGTAATTTAAAAGCCGGAGGCGCGGAGGGAGGGCAGCCCTCGCCCGCTGTAACGAGGCTCAGGCGCCCGGGTGAGCTGGAGCGGCTGAGGCTGGTCGCCGAGGCGCCGAAGGCGCCGATGGCGATCCAAAAAGCCGAAGCTGCGGAAGCAAGCGTGGGCGCCTGAGCCTCGTTACGCAAGGGCGGAAGGGCTGCACATCCCGCAGCGCCGGAGACGAGGAGATACCAATGCATGCTGCATGCTTGCTTTCATGCTGCCTGCTCTGCATGGTTATCTACTCTATTAAATTATATATGATTTTTTAAAGATACGAGTATGTCTGTTATAAAGTAAATTATTCTGAACAACAACATTATGAGTTGAATTATGTTCTTAGTAACAACATTATTAATTAAAACAATATGATCAATGAATGTTATGAAGAAAAAAGATCTGAAAATAAAAATTATGTATTTAAATGGTTCTTGGTAGTAACATTATTGATAAAAAAATTATGATTACTAACTGTTATGAGCTCCGATGGTAGTAATAAAAATGTATGAATAAAAAAAGTATGAAAAATAAAATTATGAAGAGAGATTATTATGAACACAAATCGGTAGTAAGACAAAGAATAGGATTTAGAATTTTATGTGAGCCAATATAGAACCGTCCCTCGCTTGACCCACGGGCCATGCCCGCCCACTCCTCTATAGTAATAATAGAATCCAAAGATACACACATGTCAAATTGTAATGGAAATAAAATGTTTCTTTATGAATAAAAATTATTTTTATTTACTTCCTTCAATACCTGATATCATTCGCTATGATGCAATAACTTAAAAAATACCATTCGCATAGCTTTGCAAGTGATGGAAAATAATTCGCATAGACTTTAGAATACCAAACTGCATAGCACTAGTCGCAAGATACCTTTGCACATTACGTGAAATAATTCGCATCAAATATAAATTATTTTTCTCTAATATTCAAGTTTTTAAGAAGCGTACATATAATGGTTGCTTATGAAATAAAACCAACGAATCAGATTACATAGCGTTTATTCATATTCAACATACATAATGCAAACGAAACACACGAACATTTTCTGATCAACAGTAACATAAGTACGCTGTCCTAGCACAGGCCACAGGCTTACACTAGGTCGCTGTGCCCTCAGAAGGCAGCGCAAACTAAACACAATGTCGGTCAGTTTCGGGAACGTTTTCAAAATAGTGTGAAAGAACTTGAGTAAATCTTGATATGCAAGGGGCACCGGAGACCCTACTCCGCAGACATTCAGGGAAATCATTCTCTTTCACTCTCACTAAAGTGGTGACATGTGTGAGAGAAGATAACCTAAATTAATTACAGAGCAGTCGCGAGTCTCAACTTACACACAACTATCTCAAGCTATTGCCAAAACTGGCCGCCACACCGATTGCAACTTTATTATCAATGGAATACATGGGAGACTGGATGAAGACCGTACATACCTAAGTTCATAGGTACTATTCCTATTCAAACGCTCTAAAATCTGCTGCCCCGTTTAAGAACCATTAAAATCTAAGTTTAGCCTAAGAACGCCACAAGTTCACATAATCTCACTGTGTGCAGCCACGAAAGGCTGTCAATCCCACATCCAGTTCGGTAGTGTGACACTCGCCACCCGACTAACATCAACACAACCCAAATGCAACTATTTCCTAACAAAGTAAGTATAATAATTTCAATATAAAGAGTAATGCGATAAAAGTGCAAAACAATCAAAAGACGGCCGTTAATCCTACATTTACAACTTTTAAAAATAAAATTAATAATAATTAGTTAACATTATATTAAAATCATTAGCAAGTACATTTGGTTCGTCATTTTATTTTGTTCGCAAGTAAATAAGTTCTCCAATATACATTTCATTTGTTTAAAAATAATTACAAAGTAAATAATACTATATTAATGAGTAGTTAACAGAAAGTTACTTTGGGTTAAGTAGGAAACTGAATAAGTTCTAAATTACAATCAAGGCTGGATTATTTTGCTTACAGTTTAGGCCAGATATATTTTACATAATAAAATAATAAAACAAGCTATTTAAAAATAAGTACGAATTCCAAAAAGTTACCGTTTAATTGTAAGCCTCGATTAGTTGCCATGAATCTCAACAAAGTTACGAAATAGTCGGATGATTCTGTAAAACCATACGTTAAAATTTAAGTTACAGTCAAATAAATGCTTAAATAACTGTTTTAACCACCAAACGAATTTAGTATTTGTCTGGTGTCATATTATTCGTATTTCGTTAGTTTTGTCGGTCGCCTCTCCACATTCATCAACTACGCGACAAAAAGGAAGCCTTTTGATTTGTTCGTTCGTCTTAAATTTAACAAATTAGCCACACAAACATTAATTACTATTATATTTATTTGATAATGGACGACTGACTTACGACGTTATACCAAAACTTCAACACTCCACACACTCTTCGCCCAAAAGGAATGTTTGAAATCTATTCCGACTGTAATTGCATTCGTGGGTCATATACAAATTAATATAAATAAACTAACAACATGAGTGATGTTACGACCTCCACCATTGTGATAAAACAAGAAATTTTACAATAGAATGATGTTTTTTGCATTGACATTTGTGCACGCTCTTCAAAGTTAGGGGAAGCTATACAGAACTTTATTCAAGATCTACGGATTTCTTGCTAAAGACATCAAAACAGTATTTATTTAAATGCATTGTTGGCGTAACTTATACAGCAGACATAGCTGATATAAGTAATTACATACAAACTTTTAAAATATTTTAAGCTATCTTAGCTTCCACAGATGAATATTGCAAGGGGTAAAGTTTAAAAGGAAGCAGCGGCTGATAGTGTTTTGACTTGGAATACCAAATGTACAATGAGGAGAAAACTGCATGTAATCTATCAGATCTCGTGTAGCCACGCACATAAAGTTCAATATCAAAACCTGCCGCCAGGGGTACAACACGAAGTTTGAAGTGCGTATATATGACAAAATTTCCAACGTGAACTCCCGATCGTTGTACTTGAGTTTTATTTTAAGTAATTTAATTAGTGCATTAGTTATTAATCGTATCAATTGATGGTTTTAATTTAGAAAACCCGCCCTGCTTCTTTCCAAACGACGCAATAGCTCTCGAGCGACGACGCGCGGCTTACCAGAGCTTGTTGTGGTAGAACTTGACGTCGAAGAAGCCGCGGTCGGTGAGCTGCGAGTCGCGGCGCGACATCGTGGAGCCGGCCGGCGAGGGAGCCGCGCCGGCCGGCGAGGGAGCCGCCGGGCCCGGGCTCGCCGCGCCCGCCGCGGGCTCCACGCGCAAAGACGACGGCCGCTCGCTCGCGGGCTTCAGCTCGGGCGCGGCCCGCCGCTCGCTCGCCGGGGGCTCCGCCACCGGAGACGGCTCGGGCTCCGGCGCGGCCGCCGGCTCCGGCATCGGCTCGTCTGGCGTCGCACGCCCCGACGTCTTACTACACACACAGGACTTGATTCAGCCGCTAAAACTAAGAGGCAAACTGTGAACCTCGGAAAAGAGTCACATCCTGCCAAAACGAAACCTGCAAACCATGCTGGTCGGGAAGAAAACATTTTATTTATTTTACCTGACAGTTGTAATTTCTTTTTTATCTATAAATCTGATAAACTTTGTGTAGAGTGGATGCGCGAAAACTGCTTCAAAACCTCTCGAGTACAAGAGCTGCCTTATCGTGCTAACTACATCTATAAAAAGTGTAAATAATATCATAAATTAAAAAATAAAAGCTAAAACAAAATTAATATTATCACAGTGCATCATTAATTTAAACAACATTTATCGTGTCTTCTTCGTTAAAATGTATATTTGCAATGGACGTAGACAAAGTGTTTGTTTGTTGATCCTTTGTGCACGTCCATTGCGCTCACCTCTACACGAGCCAATCAAAATATTCATAAGTAAACAAAACAAGCTACTTTTTATAGTATAAACTTCAAAATAATTAATAATAATTTACGGGTGAAAATAAAAATATTCGAATACAATAAGTATACAAGGACAAATTATAACACAAAGACAAACAGAATCAAGAATCAATTCATACGCAAGTATAACAATATTCACGAATTATATACGGGCTTGAAAATAGTACCGACTAAAAGCTACTTTACCAAAGTTTTCTGTCGTTGTGCCATCGTTACGTACTTAATAATTAGAACGCCGACGAGACAAGCGTTCGCGTTCTGTAAAATACTAACAAGATTCTACATTTCCTGGACATAATTTGGACGGATTGCAAATTTCATTCGAGTTTCAAATTGAAGTCTTCAACTTGTAAAATATTCGGGCTATCTTAATAAATTATTTAAATATAATGAATATTGTCATTCGTTATTAATTCTGTTTCCGAATTTAGCCGATAGAGGCGCTAGTTTTGCAGTGGGGCCTGTCAGTGGCTGTTCGCCGCGCGGCCTAAGCGCGAGTAGCTGGAAGCAACCAAAATTAATCGTGAATAAACCAAAATAACTAAAACAAAGTGAAAATCAAGCAAAATAAAACTAAGCATCATGGTACATATATTAATTTCACAGTACGTACCCATTACTTTCCTGATAATACGACGTGCCTCCATGAATTACCTGGAATTTGTACGTGGATTGAGTACATACGATGGCACATTCAAAATTGGGTAGGTGTCATAACTTGTTGTATAGCCTGACCAGGAACATAAAAACCCTCGCCATGTTGCGGAAAACTAATGGTACTAATTTCTTTTAATGGCAAAGTAACTGAAAACTTCATTGACATGTCACCTTGCATGTCAGTCTATTGTTGTTAAAGTGTAAACAAACTTTATTTTAAATGTGTGCAATTGATTTTGTGAATTAAATTGCTAAAATATTTTTATAGTCGTGAAAGAAAAGTGGTTCACGATGTGTTAATGTATTTGTCGAAGAGAAATACTAAGGGTTCGGACAATATTTTCATTGAATAATGTTTCCGACAAAGGTTGTCAAATTGACTGACATGTTTATCGTATAGTACAGTCCACTATGAAAATTAGCTGTAGTCTGTTTCAACTACCTATTTTAAAGTTTTTTGTCACTTTCTAAGTTTTGAATTTTATGGAATTGGGAAAGAAGTACCGAGTTTGAAGCGTTCATGAGCAGACATTGCAGTTGAATATTCAAGTTCTGAATTTGATTATTAATGAATAATAAAATAAATCGTACTAGCTCGATTGATGGTTTCATTTAATTTACTTAAACCAGGTTACCTTTAATAATATTTTTCGTTCATTTATGAAAATATCAAATTAGCCCGTAATCCTGAATCCTGATACATAAATTTAGCCTATTAATTTAACACATGTACGACTGTACTCAGTGTTGCACTATCAAATGCAATTGAAGCGCCTCTATGCGAGGGTTTTTATGTTCCTGGTCAGGCTATAATAGGATTCGTTTTGCAACAAAAATGTTATTATTAAACTATTTTACCAACTATATTAAATGTATAGAAAAGTAGTAAGATTTATTATACTTTTTTCTAACTAAAGTAATAGTATGTATAAGGGCCATTCTTATTCTTACGCATTTTTGTGTGAGATGTAAGAATAGCATATGTTTTTAAAGAAAATAAGTGCACTGTATATTAATTTACTTAGTAAAATACCTCTATTAACTAGGCCCAATATCATTTTCATCATAAAACTATTAGAAGAATATTAAAAAAAAGTTACAAGTCCAAAATGTCACGGACCGTGTAGTGTGAGATTCCCGGATTTGGACATACAATATTTTTTTCTGACGAGATGTTATGTTATTTTGATAAATATTACAGTAATTATGCAAGATTATTACATGTTATATAAGACTGTTAAAAATTTATATCAATAATAATTACCATTTTTGATATTGAACACCGAACATTGTGTGAGCAGTTTTTGTGTCACAACCACGTGCGCCACTTTAAATATGCGTAACTCGGTAAAAAACTATCTTTGATATTGCAGCACGCACAGCGGCTCCACCTCGCACACCTGTCGTGCTCGTCGACAGGACAGGTGCTCGCGGTCACCCTCAGGTCTGTCCCCGGCCTACCTCCAGCATGTGGTCGAACAGCAGCTGGCCGTAGCCGTGGCGCNAATGGCCCATAAGTCTATTTTTACTAATTTCCGATCACGCAACTACTCTAAAGTCTAATACTTAAACAAATATTTCATCATTTACCACGTCACAAATCTTGCAAATCTTATCCCACTTGGCAATATTTCCAAAGATTATTCCATTTAATTACTGCCACTGTAATATCTGAGAAGGTTTAGATTATTTTCAAATACTAGATAGACTGCAGGGAATGAAATGCGTTTACTAGTCAGAAATTATTAATGTGAATAAGTGATAAAATGTAAAAATCGTAGAGTGATATGTATTCTTAAAAATATCACATACAAAAACTACATCAAAATAGTAGTATGCTAATCAGCCGGGTCATTCCGGACAATGTATCTTGGATGGATGACCCCGCGGTCTTCGGTCGTGGCGTGTGGGTCATGGTCCATGGATTAGCGCCGAATCAGCGTGGTCCCTTGCTATAAAATGGTCGCGTAGAACAGTATTTTGATGTAGTCTTTGCACTGTATGTATTGTCTGTCACCGTGAAATTGTGAACTCTGTCAGATTACAAGAACATAACGCGGTGAAATGTACTAACAGTAGGTTAGATTGAGCCGCGAGCGAATGTCCAATTTTAAGACAATAACTCGCAGCTCCGTTTTATTGGGCTCCGGCGAACACCTTAGGGCTTTAGTGGACAGGCTCCCACATAACTCACTAGTCGTCAAAATCTATTCCTAAAGGCTACTTTACTTGAACCTTTGTTTTGTCTCCTGTCATCCGCTTCCCTCCAGAAGTCGAACCTTAACTTCGTCGAACTCCTCCTATGTTCTTATGATTAATTCTTTGCGGGTCCAATGACAGTTTAACTTTCCCCCGGGACAAACTTGACCTTCACTGGTTGGGTTTTTATTGGCGGTCAATCTGTAGATCCTGGCTACACATGAGTTGCAGCGGAGAAAACGAGAGGTGGGAATAGTCCCGTGGTCGTGCCCATCGGCCAGTGAGTATGCGCGAAGCATTTCCCGACAAAAAAAGGGTCTAATCTAAGCTAAAGCCCGGTCTGTGAACACGTAGAATTTTGTCCAATGACCCCTAGCTACCCATCCTTATCGCTCGCGCGTAATTATATTGCTGTCGCGACTGTGCGACTGGCACCCGCAGTGAGTGTGCGAGCGCGATAGCAACATAATTACGCGCGAGCGATAAGAATGGGTAGCTTGGGGTCATTGGACAAAATTCTACGTGCTCACAGACCAGACTATAGACGGAGTTCACAGTTTCGTGGTGAAATAGTGAGGTGTGTAAGTAATGGGTTACCGTGGCGATGGCGGACGGCGGCTTGGGCGCGGCGAAGCGCCCCACGGCGGCCGAAACCACCGGGGTGCTGCGCCCCGACTTGCTGCGGAGAGGTTAGTGCCCGGTTAGAGTGAGAGGGATGCCGAGAACTCTGCTGTCTCATACAAGTGTTTCACATCAAACCAAACCAAATTTTGACCAGTATTTTGGCACTTGTGAACGTCAAAAGTAACAAAAAGTAGCCTTTAACACATTGAACGCCAACGCGGTCAATGTTGTCCGACACTGCACTTTCCTACCAGGCCAAGTAAAAATTTCAATTTTTTTCAATTTTCGTCGATTGTTTTTTTTTGTTAAATCGTTACATTATAAACATAAATAAAGGATTTTATTAACATATAGTTGTTTTTGAGTCTTTACATCGAATTATTAAGCGTCGGACATCATTGACCCCCATGGCCCCAGCGAGCGAAAATTCGAAAATCCGTTCCGTAGGGCCGCGCGGTCATGTTGTCGACCATCCCCGCTCGCATCCAAAAAAAAAAAGGAGAACAACCAAAAAAATAAAGAGTTGTACATTGGTAGGTTTTTGATATATTATATTACGCATAAATAGGAATATTATAAGGTATAAAATGAGAAACGAAACTAGCAGGATAAGTCTTAAATAGTGATTAAAAATAATAATAAATAAATCGATGATACCGTAAAAGGAACGCTAAAAGTGATTTTTTTCAAATTGTTTTAATTAAAAAAGGTTTAAATTTTATTTAAAAAATTGAATTTATCAATAATTCGTATAAAAGTTGTCCAAAACTGAGCCGTCCCAGCTATGGCATTGTCAGGAAGGCGCTACTATCAATACTGAACTATTAGTTCCCATTTTTGCCTCGTTGGACAGCCATATAATTATGAAATTTACAGGAAGGTGCTACTAACAACTGGGTTATTAATCCAATTTTTGCGACTTGACGTTTTAGAAATTGTTTGACTGTATTTTGAATTTTTCATCCATCACTGTAGTGTCACTTTCGATCGGTTCTTTTTTCAAAACAATATTGAATTGTCAGTATATCTACAAATAATATTTAAAAATATACTTAAAATTAAAAATAATTATAATGACATAGCTGATTTAACATGCCAATAATTTGACCTACATGAATAATAAAAAAAGTTCTAGAATAGAGTATCGATAAGAGAAAAAATGTTTTTTTCATACATTAAACAAATCTATTTTTCTCGACAATCCTGCTAGGTGTAAGCATCTAATAAGTACAATAATTTATGCCACTAATAAGGTTTTAAATGGCATAAGTTTTGTAGCTGTACAAAGAACTTAGTACCTGTACCAACCCTTCATACAAAGTGGTTGTTCAACAATGAAAGTGATTTTTTTTATTGTCCTGCATATTATAAATTATATAAAATAAGTAAACGATATGTTTTAATTAATAAACCGTTATTATCTTGCTAAAAAGTTGATAAATTTGCAAAAATGCATTGTATAATTACCATGTTTCATTGCGCTACCGTTATCCACATTTTTTTTTCTAAGTCCGAGCTTTACCTGAGAACCAAGTGACGTACACTAATCTTGGGAGCCGCGCGGGTCAGCTAATATGAGAATTATTGAAGAAATGCTGTCCATCGGCTCAATACAGAGGTTTAAACATAGGTCTGACTCGCGGTCATCATTGTCCGACGCGGCCCGAACGGAAAGTTAAAGTGTCGCCCATCATTGTCCCCCATGGCCCGAACGGAACAGTGCCATTTTTAGGCTGGCAGCGAAGGTGTTAAGAGGCACTTTACATCGTTGCTTGCCTCTCTGATGTAACTGACATTTAGCAAAATTTTCAGGCGATTAAACATATCGATTCGTCTTGCGAAATTGATTAAGATGGTGTAGATAACTCAGTTTCGAAAAAAAGTCAGATACGTCAGTTAGAGAGGCAAGCGACGACATGTTTCCTTATCTTTTGGGCCCTACCAGTCTATCCCAAGTCATGCAGTTGACTGAACATAAGATCATGTATGGTACAGTAGATTTCGTCGGTTGCAATGCTTATTTTACAGTTAAATTCGTTATTATACCAAAAGCAGGTATTAATATTGTATGAATGGGTTGATTTGGAGAAAAAAAAAATATATTTTGGAATCGTTTGCAAAAATGATTATATCAAAAATTTACTCTTAGGTAGACTATTTAATATTAATTTAAACTCTTTGGAACAATAGTAACAATCAATTAAATATAGCAACACATTATAAAGTACACCACAAACATTTACAAACAATATGTCATCTATTATTCCCCTATCATTTTACAGTTACACATATCTATGAAAATGATCATGTATGATAAGAAAAATTACCCTTAGTATAAATGAATATAGCACAGTATTAAATGAGTATGATTTATTACTAGCATTACTCTTCGAGACAACTGACATAACTATATTTTGTTAACTACCTAAATAATTCCAAATAATACTGGCAACTCACGAACATCTTACCATCGTTTGTAGTATACAGCGTGTCCCAGAATGGGTGAATCAAACTGCTAAGGGAGATAGCTCTACTAATGTACTATCCCTAAAAAATATGAAAAAAAAAATAAAGCGCATTATAAGGAAACAAAAATATTGTTTTTTAATACATTTATATAAATCAGCTTTGCCTAAGTATCTGGCTATAGTAATTGCTGCGTTTGGAGTTTATTTGTACTTTTTTCTTACTAATATTAATTGTACATGATCGCTTCATTTATCTGTAAACAAACTTTTGAAAATAATGACTAGATTTCGAGTTTAGAGCACTTTAAAAAAAATGCGAACTCAAAAATATTTTTAGGGATAGTACATTAGTAGAGCTACCTCCCCTAGCAGTTTGATTCACCCATTCTGGGACACCCTGTATACCTACATTGAACAGAGATGGACATACACAATCTAGCAATGTGCGAGTGGGACACACACGTCTACAAACACGTGCTCGTGAGTGCGACACATATTGCGCGGCTGAGGGAGCACAAGCCGAAACGTTCCTACCATTTTAATGGTCTGGGTGTTTTCTATCTATAATATTGTTAATATTATTGTGAAGAATGTAAAACGTTAAAATAACGGTATTGTTATAGCCAATGAGCTGATGTCATAGTTAGTTAGACTCCGTGATAAGGGGTTAACCGAATTTGACTACTAAGTGTAACATATTACATAAATAATGATTAAAATTAATCACTTGACACGATGGTTAGTAATAATCAGGTCCCTAACAGTTATGGCTACTGGACCACGTTATAAAGAAACTGAACATGTTTTATACAGCATTCAATGAAAATTTTAAGGCCACCAAAAGGACTAATTTTATTTAAGATAAATGTTTTATGTTAACGTGTGAAAAGTTGTAGTAGTGTATCTGATAGGCTAGTTGCTACGCTACTATAGTCTGGTCGCTGAGCACGTAGAATTTTGACCAATGACCCCAAGCTACCTATCCTTATCGCTCACGTGTAATTATATTGCTGTCGTGACTGTGTGACGGGCGGCAGCAGTGAGTGTGCGAACGCGACAGCAATATAATTACGCGCGAGCGATAAGGATGGGTAGCTTGGGTTCATTGGACAAAATTCTATGTGCAAAGCGACCAGACTTTAGTGTTCATCAGTGAATAGCGAAATAGGCCGTATGCCGACCACATAAGAGTCGTTTCGGCGTGCACTCCCGCTGCCGCGCGCCGCTTGCGCACTGACCTGCCGAGCGTGCTTAACTCAAAATGTCTCTTGTTCTTGTCCAAGATCTGTCGTGGACATTTACTGGTTCAGTAACAAAATAATATTCATTAGGCATTGTATTTGGGGTATTTCTAACTTTATTCGTCCTGTATTTCAACAAAGCATTACAATTTTAATATTGGTTCTTCAAAGTTACTCTAAAACACGCCCCAATACTACTTTTGGAACCATTGCAGCAGCCTTTAGCTAATCCAAAAGTACTCAATATTCAAGAGCACCTTATTTAGCTTTGCGAATTCGATTCGCAATCATTTGTTACGTACTAATGTGGATGTCCCATTTGGGATCTTAATATGCGTCACACTCTTCTTATTATATGAACAGACTTTTACGTAACAAATGCTTGCAATCCTAATTTGCAAACTAGAATTAGACTCCCAGTGATTAAATTCCTTTGGAAACCACTAAGAGCGTTTTCACATTTAGGCGACTTAGCAGCGCGACAAACGCGCGACAGACGCGCTGCCGATAATTTCATACTATGTGACAGCGGATGCCTGCCTTCACATTATAAAAACGCCGTTGCTACGCTGCGGTCGCGTTTCTGATGCCCTAATGCGAAAGCGCTCTAAAACTGCACGAGTGTTCCATTTCTTTGACGTGGAGCTCTTCAGTTTCTACATCATAAATTCAATTTCAAAATCTATTTTACAAGGACATCTTTGGAAACAGAATGTATGCAGGTAGACCTGCAGATGTAACTTAGGGTGTCCGTACCTGATATCCGTGGCCTTGGCGAAGAACTGCGGCGCGACGGCGAAGTTATTGTTCTGCTTCATGAGGCGCTGCACGCCGTAGTGCCGCGCCAAGAACTGCTCCATCTTGGCCGAGGGCCCGTCGATGGCCAGCTCCGCCGTCGTCATACCCAGGTCCTGGGAACGAAGACGGGTTCATCATCCGATCATTTGGTTTCTACTGTATGAGGACGCCACTCTTTAATTTACCAAAGGAAAAAGGGAAGATTTGTAAATCTTTAACAGCAGATGTCATCTTTTAAACATATTTCTGGTGTAAAAATCGCGACCACGTCTATTATGGCACCATCGTCATGTCTCGTCCTCTTTACATTCGTCAATGAACTCGCGTATTCTGGTTTTCCTTCCACCAAAATACCAAAGCAAGGACCATGAACTGGAAGTCCCATCAGTGTACATTTTTTCTTTCCAACCCAGTGGACTTGTCAGTAGCCTATAGCTACAGCGTATCCGTGTGGTCGAATACCAACGGCAAACTGTGCACTGGCGGTTGCACAGTGACTAAGGAGCCAGGATCCCAGGTCACATCTTTCTAACCCAGTTGACCTGCTAGGATCTTTTAAGACTAGAGCGTATCCTAGTTCCAATATCTTCACGGCTACCTTCAACCTTTGGACCGACGACATCATAAAGGTAGCAGGAAAGCGCTGAACGCAGGCCGTTACCAACCGGGTAACATGGAAAGCATTGGGGGAGGCCTATGTACAGCAGTGGACGTCCTATGGCTGAGATGGTGAAGATGATGATGATGATGACCTTCAGCGAGTCTCTGTCCCCGGGCCTACCTCCAGCATGTGGTCGAAGAGCAGCTGGCCGTAGCCGTGGCGTTGGCGGTCGCGCAGCACGAAGAAGTCCAGCACGCACAGCGGCTCCACCTCGCACACCTGTCGTGCTCGTCGACAGGACAGGTGCTCGCGGTCACCCTCAGGTCTGTCCCCGGCCTACCTCCAGCATGTGGTCGAACAGCAGCTGGCCGTAGCCGTGGCGCTGGCGGTCGCGCAGCACGAAGAAGTCCAGCACGCATAGCGGCTCCACCTCGCACACCTTGTCGTGCTCGTCGAAGAGGAACAGGTGCTTGCGGCCCACCTTCAGCATGCCGATCACCTCGCCCCGTCCTCTGGAACAGGCAGGTGGGAAATCAATGCACCGCCATTCAATAAACTTGCGTTGCTAATTTCTACAATCTTAACTAGATCGAGATCCTTGTCCAGCAATCAACAACTTTCTTGAAAAGGAGATGCTAGACGTTTCTCCGCTTGAGGCAAAGTTCAACAACTATTTTTCTTGTTATTATCAGTTTAATAGGTAACGTCCAATATAACAGACATTATCTCTATTTATATAAATGCATTGGCACGTAATAATTGGTTTAATTAAATAAACAAGTACATGCAACAGTAAAAAACCAAGCTGTTTAAAATTCTCTCAGGCTATCTTAACTACTTTTAAATGAAATATTTGGCTGCTTTCTAATCTTGATTTCAGTAAAGCGAGACGACGACTCTACTTTGTTTCTTTATATGGTGGTTTGTTGGCACTGTTGCGTGGCAGAAAACAACCTCGATAATTAAGTGACCTCATAAGTATCGTTTTGAAACAGCATTGCAAGCATCTCCGGGTGACGTCACACCTTTCATATCTGCCTCGTGTTTATGCATAGATAACGTTTGATTGACTTTTTTATCGTTCCATAATTTCACTAGGATAAGCTGATTCTGTGATAAATTCGTCAGTAAAGGATTTTATTTACATTCCACTTTGATAACATAATAATGCCACACATGTAATTCAAAATGTTGAATCAATTAATTTTAAACGATTTTAGGAGTTACATAATGTCTTAATCTTGGATTAGATTCAAACAAGTTACTTTTAACCAGAAATCTTCTAACAAAGTGAGTGCAAAAATCAAGACATGTTTGTTAAATAAATAACTGATAGCTAATGTTTTCATAAGCGACTGTGGAATCAAACCCACGGGTATTAAGTTCCAATCGACGCCTAAATAACCAACGGCACTCTCCGCTACAACGCGTGCGCATTTTGTCCACTAAATTAATTAACTCTGTCATCAAAAGGTCAGTTGGAGAAAAGGCGCATTGAAACTAAACAGAAAGAAGATGGTTTATACATTGGGAACTGCTGAAAGTTCTATATTAAAAGAACCCAATGTCACTTGGCAGCTTTTGAGATATCTACAAATGAAAGTCGGTTCAGTCGGTGCACCTGTAATGGGACCAATTGTTCCAGAGATTACCCTAAAACATTATAAAAAGAAAGCACGTACATTACAATTCGCTGCGCAAATAAATGATAAGCTGTGCTGAGCAAAGAACACCGTTAAACTGACAAACTAACAACCTAACGGTGGTTCCATAAATTTTTTACGGCCACCACCAACATTTTCATAACGCGTTTACTTCTATTTTCAGGATTTAGTAGTCAAAAGTTTTGATAATGCGACGACACGTCTGCATCAACCTTAGATAAGAAATAGACAACTTCGGAGGACAGACGTAAAGTCGTCCGTCAGTTTATCTCCAAGGTTTCCACTTCACAGCGCGACATGAATAGCTGCGAGAAATGTGCATTGTATGCTTCTGGTAGTATTGTCCCGTTCTAGAATGCTTATCAAGCGACATGATCTTTCGACTGAAATGGGCAGAACTATCTAAAAGTAGTTCAGGCTACCTACTTGAGTTGCGCATTCTAGCACGATGTTGCCAAATTAAGGCGCGACCGCTACACTATTGGCGGCAAATGAGTTTATAGACAAACTTTATGTGAAATTATTAATATGACTTTTTTATCGAGCAGTCTCTATGGGACTAGAAAAAGTGGTTAAGTATCTTTTTTGCTCGGCCTGTATAATAAATAAACGTATGATACGAAAAATGTATATGTTGTGTGATGAAGTTTCAATCTAAAGTTCTAAACTAAGTAAAGCCTGTATCGGCAGAATCAATTGATAGATTACAAATTTACCCATAAATATTAATGCGGTTTCTTGAGATCAATCATGTCTAACGAAATCTTGAGAGAAAGCTTGTTGTGATCAAATAACATGTGAAATAATAACAAGTTCGCAGGTGCTCAAAGTATAATGAGCAGTGCAGTGCCGCAGCGCGAGTGAAGAATAGATAATTACAACAAAATCGTGATTACAAATAGTAATTAGGATAATGATTATTAATAACAAGAGAAGTGCAAAAATAAATATATTTTTACGAAACAAGAGTCTAGCCAAACAGCTGGCACACATTTTCATACGCGCGTTTGTAACAGCCCGAAGCAGAGCGAAGCGAAAACGCACTTATAGCGCGCCGTGCACGCGCCCGCTGTGTGGCAGACCCTTTAAAGCGTTAGCGTGCGCATTGAATTGTTACTTAATCTACGAATACATAGGTGTTTTCTTCCAATAAACTAAAAAATAATAATTACAACCTTACTTGATATATTATTATTATTTCTTTCACATTTAGCGCAATTTTAATTTATAATATTTATTAACTAAAATCTGTTTTTTTGCGAAAAATATCAGCAGTAATGGCATGTGCGACTGATTGTATTGTGAAAAGTGTGCGCAAATAGAAAGCGCCGCGCTCGACTGCCCCGATTAAGACCAGGAGCCATTTTGGATCAGCCGTAGACCGGCGGCTGCCATCGGGCGGCCTTCGTCTGCTCGTCGTACTTATTGCCGTATCTAGGGGTTCTTCTTCAGGGGGGAGTGATAAGCCATGTAACGGGGGGTTTGCGATTTAGTATCATAGCTCATGTGTGAGAACTATTCGTCTTCAAAGCAGTAACCAGACCATTACCCCGCTATATACGCTCATGGCCGTACTGCGTGGTTACTCCAAAAAACGTTATCCGAAGTTTCGAATGTTAATGTTTAATGTGAACCATCCCTCTCACGCAATGCGAGATGCCAGTATGAGCGACGGTGATAGATAGACCCGAAACTACGTAAACAGCGTTTCATAGTAGCCCTGTGTACTCATATGAAGCAACAATAGCCAAATTAGCCAATGGGTCGGTGTCGGACGGATCCGAGGAACGCTGGTTCGATCCCCGCTGCGCCGCTGGACTATTGTGGTGAATCCACTTGTAACACAAGCATATTGAGCTTACCACGAGGGGTTAACGGGGTTAATATTCTTTCACAAGTGGAAGTGATGTTAAGTACAGAGCAGCTGGAGTCCGGTCCAACAGGATCGCGATCCTCGATCGATCGATCGATATCTCAAGGTGATACATAAATTGATATGGAATAGGGTACTTACCCTATTCCGCTATGCTGTCGAGTGTAGTATACTTATACTACACTCGACAGCAAATAAATCGCACCACCCGCGACGCGAACTTTAAAGATTTTCTTTGACACAATAATGGTGCCCCAACAATATTGGTGTTTTTTGAAAGCCCAATAAATATCCTTAAAGAAAAACACACTTAATTTCTTAATAAATGATTAACACCATAAATGTGACTTCACTTTGGGCTCACCTCTGGGATCAATTAGACCAAATTTTATGGTTATAAAACCAAATAATGATCACACGTGTCCTCTTTAACAGATGGATAGCGATTAATCCCAACTTAACAGTTTTATAGCCATAAAAGTTGGCTCAAGCGTAACTATCTATTTTTTGAAGAAGTGACTCTGGATCCTTCTAAAGAAACATTTTTGGGGCAAAAACCTTTCCTATAATGAAATTAAGTTTAGAACTAGGCTTTTGAATGGTACCAATATTGGTGTGAAGTGGGGATGTATACGTTTGAAAGTGCTTGTCGCGGGTGGTGCGATTTATTTTCTGTCGAGTGTAGTTAGAGTTTTTAATATTTTTAATCCAAAGCAATTTCAAAATTTGCATGTCATTTAGGTGTGTAATGGCCGATGATAATTACGTAACATTTGATTACCCATCGAGAGGCGGAGCAGGTGGTGTGAACTAATGCGTGTAAGAAAGCTTAGTTCCCGAGTTTGCGATAGTTTTTGTTACGGCGCCAATGCACGCGAGCGCGAGAAACCACGGGCAGATGCTAGTCTCTTAACAAATGTGTCCTATTTCTTGTCCGTAACGACTGAGAACAAAACATGTTTTATTAATCGGAGATAGTTTGACGTACGTATACAAACACCTGTTCACATGAAGTTTTTGCGGCATTGCTTCTCGTCGGCGGAGAAAATGACTAAAAAATTGATTATCACTGTTTTCCGATACATGAGCTGTAAGAAAGTTTACAAGTTCGTTAAAATAGGATCAATATTACGTAACAGAGTACATGCCAACCCTGAAGGTTGGGGGTTTAGTAGCAACAAAGAAATGCGTCCAACTATTTTCGATCAATAGAACAAAGTTTGATAAAGCCACAAAACTAATCGGAAGAAATATTAGCTGTTGCCATAAATATTTAGTTCCATTTTTAGCGAGGTTCGTTTCACTATTTCCGATACGTCAGGCTTGATTAAAACAGTTAAACATGGCCAAGTAATTTTAAAGTCAAAATTGATACGATATTCATAAGGGTTGCGGTGGGATATTTCCTTTACTTATGTTATAGTATTTTGTTCAAGTTAGGTATATCTTTATCTATATTTTTCGTGTGGGAACGCAAGAAGCGTACCATAAATTAATATTTCTCAATTATTGAATAGAAAAAATAGTTAAGAAACCGTGAATAGTTCACTATCAGGCAAAGTTATAGCTCCGGTAGTTACGCACTTGCAATATTTAATTTTATCATTCAGACCGAGCTGAGCAAAAGAACAGCGCAGCCGCGGTCGGAAACTTTAGACTTTAGTCACGCTTTAAAAGTATAAAAGACCACATCAAAGCAATAGGATTTCGACCGTAAAAAGTGGGGGATACTTGAAAACTAATACGGGATGGGCAACGACCGCGCGGCGAAGCAGACGTATGGTAGGGCTGCGCGCGCGCCGTATCGATAGAAATAACTTGACAACAGATACATGCGTGAATATTCATACATCATATTACACACACACAATAACCCCGATTTTTGCAATCGGGTTATAAATTGCACACTGCCTCTAAGAGCCTGTAGCAACAACATTTAAATAGCAAATGATCGTTCTAATTTAAGTGCAAGTAAACACGCGCTCTACCGTGACTTGTTCGCTGAAAATTATAAGGCTGCATGCCCGCTTATATGAATACAAAACATAACTATGTGGGTGGGTCTGTCTTATTTTTAACTTAGAAAAATAGGAGCAATTTTCCTGGAAATCGCCGATGCATCTAATAAACTTTATCGAATTTTTCCACATTATCCTATCGGACAACACCAAAGTCGATCGCTGATGTTTTTGTACAAAAAGAGCAGTTTCCGCTTGACAGCGCGCGTCACTTGCGCGGGCGCACAAGGCCGATGGAAAGCGCCGACAATAGCGCGACAAACATGGCCTATCAGACCAGATCGAGACCTCCATTGTAGAAATTGCCGACTTTATAAGATTTTATCAGCGCGGTCTACCGCTGAAAAATATGCTCGCGCATTTGTTTGCACCTGAGTCATGGATGGATAATGTTTACGCTGTACTTGCCGGGCGACTTCACATTTGAACAATTAGTTCGAGTAGACTACTTGATGTTCGCAACACTGAAGTATTTTATATCTTATTTAGAATGTATAGTAATTGGATCACCACACTTTCATATAAAGTATATTATTGTGCGTCAAAAAGGTAGCCCCATAATATCCTTCTCCATCAATCTACTATAGTTCTTAGACCAACAGATTCAGCGTTTAAGGCATGAAAACTATAAACAAAACAACAAATAAAGTTAAAATGTAAATTGTACTCGTAAGTATAAACAAAACGGTGCAGGTTCTTCACGGAGTCTGGTCCTTACGGGACTTTTATAACTCAATCTTGAAAAGCGCTACTAAAATATTACTCAAAAACACACTTAACGCAGCCGAGTTATGTGCGAGTTCACTCGATGCAGTGACTCACACGAAAGCCTTACTTACGTATGTAACACTTAATGACAGCATCACAGAAGTGAATTACAGCAATTAGAAGGGCATGGCCTGTCGGCGTAGCGTTACACGCAATATTTAAAAAGAGATTTCCATTTATTACGGCCTATAGAATCGAGTTTCCTAGTGGAGGAATACATAACTTGGAAAGTTTTCGAAGGGCCAATGTCATTAGAAAGTCCGCTTCGACAATAACTAGCGTTTCCTTAAGTTTTGACTACACGTCAATTAAAAGTAACGTTAACACGTCAAGAGTCACATGTCCATCTTCAGTCTGCGTGCACTTTGTGCTTTAGATGCGACCTATTTTGGCAATTAATGCGACATAATTTTGTATTCTTTAAAACTATAAGCGCTCATCTCATAATATGTCCTACATTTCCCAAGGTTTCACCTTTCCTTAAATACCTCTATTTCAGCGCACGCTTGTACATCTTTAGTCCCACTAACTTTGTCAGTCTAGTTAGACTCCACTATACTAAATGAGGTCACAAACACAAGGGTAACCTTAATTAATAAGAAAATTAAAAAGTTACGATACTTTTTCTTGTCAGTTAGTATGATAAAATTAAACCAAAATCTACACGCGAGCGAAACTAGTGTGATAATATCTGAACCACAGTGACTTTTAAAAGGCAATTCTGAGGGAAGAGTAATTTCTTTCCACTGCTGATATTTTCAAATTATACCCAGAAAGCCATTAGGAAATTGAGCGTGAAACGATCCATCAACATATTAATAAGTCGTTACCGTAGTGTCCGTAGTTTTCTAGCACTTTCCTTCGGAGAAGCGAGCGCACAAGCAGTTCGTGCCTGGCACGGGACATGCAAATGGGAGCTACCGTGCTGCACACCACCGCGAGATTAAACATCAGCGGCGCTCTTAATGTGCCCACTTTATGCCGACAGACCCTTGGTTTTCAAACAACAAAACACAATAAACAACACATTTTTGTTGCTCTCCACTTGACACGATTTTGCTATTGACCCAGTTTACGGTAGAAGTCGTTTAGAATCATCGAGAAAATTATAGACAAAGCATTCATTCACCGTGGATTTTCCGAGCTTAGGCTTTCTTCATTACGTCACGCAACACAGCTGTTTTGGTTGTGCAAAATGGTGCAAAACTAATTTTGGTAAAACTTTGCAACTGTCATCTTAATATTGGCAGAAAGCAGAGGACGGTTTTTCGAGAAATTTCATTTTTTGAGTCCACTCGAACAAAACAGCGAGCGTACACAAGTTTTCGTTTTCCTTGGGAGTTCTTTTGTGCATGTTCGCATGTAAGAACTTTTTGCGTCCGGAGTTTTCTTTTCAATTGTAAAGGTAAAGAAAGCCAGAGTAAAGGCTCTGATTAAATGCATGCCACGCTTTGGAGAACCCTCGCCTAGCGGGGGCTTTGTTGACTCATTGAGTTCCGTTCCGACGTTATTATAAACTAACAATAATCACCCTATTGTAATTAACTTTGTAAAATTATCTTCTGAACGATAATACTGTCTACGAGAATATTTTGCTTTGGTACAGCTTGGCACCAGACACTAATAACTTTGTCCCATGAACTCTAATTTTCAAATTATGATTTCGGTTATAATGATGATTAAAAACCCCCAAAGCTTGAGATTGCTTTAGATACAAACAATCCAAATGAACGCGAAAAGTAAGAATAAACGATAAACAAATATTAAAACTTAACCTAATATTGGTAGAATCTAGGAATGAATACTTGAGATGCTGAGAAGAATTTATTAGTGTACTCGTATGATTCGCATCACTGTTAGTTAAATTAATCCCATATCCATACAATAATATTATTTATTATTTTTAACGATTAATGAATCCTTTATCAATCTTTGTTTTTGAAGTCACGATAAATCAAAACCTTATGAAGAGTATGTAGGTAATATAGGTAACCTAACTATGCACTGGATGAGCCTAATGGAGAGCAATGAAACACACGTCTTACTATTGCGGCTTGTATTCGAGAATGAACGACCATACAAAAGTAGGTACACGGCACAGTTATAAAACTAAACTTAGGACTACCTCCCACTAGAACAATAATTTTAATATGTGTAATCTACCCATACATTACACCTTATACAATCCATAAATTGATGCCTCAGACGGACGAACACCACTGCAAGTGAGAAAGCACCTGAATTATTCATCATCTCATATCGATCCGACCGAAAGTGGAGCACTCGATACAAATATTGCGATTAATATTTAATTTAATCAATGTCGAGACGCCGCACGGAATTGTAAATTACCGATAAACGACACCTTTAACGCATGCTATAGTGCTATCCGCTTCGTGAATTAGTCTTGGGTAAAGTTAAGTTCATCAGATATTTTTATAATAATTAAAGAAACAATATAGCACCTTATTTTCACCAATATTATAAAGAGGAAAGATCTTATTGTTTGTATTGAATAGGCTTCGAAACTACTGGACCGATTTGATTCGTTCAAAAAATTGTTTGTCCACCATTTGTCCCCCACAGCATACTAGGCGATCAGGCGATCGAGCGATCATATCATAACGAAATCTTCCATTTGGTCCTTACTGGAATGGAAGACATTGAGAAGAAATATAAGTGTACTTATTTCACTATTAAATATTTTCTGAAACGGCTCGGTTGGACGTTGAAGCCTAATCTTTATTATTCTGCGCTACTAATACATGTTTCAGGTATGGATGCGTTGTACAATATGTACCTGGTTGCCTAGTTTACCGTTAGCGTGTTAGCGCACCTAAGTAAATCGCGATTGTTCCCTTGGAAGGGAGGCGGAAGTGCACGTCATAATGACTTTATCGCAGCTTGCGTGCCCTACCGCAACCCCCGGCAGCGTCCAGGGGAAGTCCCGCGTTCCTTCATCGGGCGCTCGTTAGCGAATGCTCATTTGCATCGCAGCAGACAATGTCTGCTTTGTATAGCATTATCGTTATAGAGCTTTGGAATTAGGGGCGAGAATAGCCATTTATACAGTGCTATCCTACCAATACAAGCTGAGACTGCAATTACAATAGACGATAGTTCGTGGCACCCAAACACGTCTTGGAATAAGGTTGTGGTGCTGTCAACTATTTGGTCACTTTGGATGTCACAAACTTACTTTAAACCAATTAGGTACAAAAATAAAACACTATTCCCACTATTTCATTAATTTCACATTGTACCTAATTTTTATCTGTTATTCAATCTTTTGTAAGTAGGTATATTTTCCAAAATGTAAATTGTTTGCACTGCCTTACTCTCTCTGCATGACCCATGGTTGACTGGCAGAGAATGCCATTCGGCATTAAGTCCGCTGCAAAAGTTTAAATAAATAAATTCAGTATGATAGAACTTTGAACAAATATTGTGAAACTTGCTCTATGGATTATTGACAGATAATTCAGGAGCTGTCGCTGAAATAAGTAATTCAAAATCAAAATCAAAAATATTTATTCAGTTTAGACCACAAGTGGCACTTATGAACGTCAAAATATAGTAAATATAAAAAAAGAAAAGGTAGCCCTTGTGGGGCACTTTACATGTCTCCTTATCTTTTGGACCCTACCAGCGCTTCGAGACAAACATATGGCAAGTACTGAGAAGAAACGTCGGAACAAACTCAGTCACCACTTATTGCCAGGAATTATCTAACTGTAAGAATAGCCAAATTTAAGTACATCAAATATGTGCAGACTGAGTGATTGTGGAACTTACCCCTTCCCGTTAGGGTCGCGCAGAAGATACAGGATGTGCGTGGGCGAGTTGCGCAGCTTCTCAGCGGTGGTTATGACCTTGCTGAGCGACTGCGCCGCTGCCGACTGCTCGCCCAGCGAGTCGATCAGCTTCGACAGGCTCTCCTGCATCACCCTGTATACAATAATGAACTATTTAATTCATCATGACGCTGTTAACTGCAATTCAATAAACAATAATTAAAAGTTAGTACACACGGCCACACTGTTAACTATCCATTACCGTTTTTGCTCTCGCTCTAAACAAAGAATAAGAATAAGAAAATTTATTCATAATGTTCATTACATGTCAAATTTTCAATATATTATCTTATTAATCATAAACAATTGCAGTATTAATAAGAAAGAAATACACATCATGTCCAAATAAATTAATAATACAAATAGAATTAATGTCAATTAATTGTCAAAATAAATAGTGTCAATAATAATTAAATTCCAAACAGTTCGTCAATTTTATAGAACGCCTGCTCGATCAACCACCTTTTTAATTGAAATTTGAAAGAATGGAGTGATACCGCTTCTTTCACTATTTTAGGCAATCGGTTGCATACTTTAGGCCCCAATACGTGCGTCAAATGGTGATTCTTTGCGATAGTACGAGACGACATGACAGGCAATGGATAGTTAACACTGTTGCCGATGGTACTTTAACTCATCAAAATTGGTGAGTTGAGAATTTAATAAAATAACCTGAGGAACCCAAACTAAGTTTAGCTGGAAGAGCATTCGCCCAGCAAACGAAAGGTCGTAGGTTCAGTAACCACCTTAGGCAGTTCAATTTTTTCAAGTTATTTAGTTGGAGAAGCGACTCTAAATGCTCAGAAATTTTAATAACTAAACTTGCCTCAAACCCTTGATAATTCAAGACAAAATGCTAATTTATCCCCAGGTTTGCAACTAAATAACCCCAACTGATGCAAGTAGGCTTATGCCTACTTACTTTGACCTAGCATGGAGACTTACTCATCATTATTATTTTAATAACAAGAGAAGATTATCATATTCTATTTTAATAGGCAGCTGGTGAATAGTAATTACCAACAACGGTTCTGATGAGTTGATTGACCTCATTGGTGCATCTTTATAATTCTGAGTTGCAACACCTAACTTTGAACGTAACTATAGCAATAACCAGTGTTTTTGGTATACTTCGACAGATTTCTGATGTTTGTTATAGTTAAAATAAGATAGTGCAACCCAGCCTACATAATTATTAGTTTTGTTGGAACAAGCATACCTACATAGGAACTTAATTAACTCTAAAGCTATAAGACAGATAAACACTGTCAAAAAAATTATTTTAAATAATGTACTATTATAATAAAATCTACTTAAATAAAAAGGTAATGGTAATGGTGACTGTTTTTGATTACCTACTCACTTTATATGGTTTTATTCACACAATAAATGTTTTATAAAATAGAAGTACATAAATAAGGTAACACAATTTGTATTGTAACATGTTAATTTCATTTCCAATCAAATAATGGTACAATAGAAGGCAGGCAACACTGGAGTAGCAAGTTTTCATTGTACACCTTCACAACCTTCAGACATTTCATTAAATAGACAACTGTACAATTTGTTGCATGTTTTACCATTGATATTTATGAATAATATTTTGAAATAATATTTCACTCCAATACCTACCTATTTGGTCAAAGAGTAGTTAAATGTTCAAATGGTGCAGTGATTTTTAATTAAATGAGCCATTATATTACTGTCCCATTCCCAACAACATCCCAATTGCTTTAATTTCCTCTTAAGTCCACACACTTCAAGACTAATAAGAATTCATTGCCATTTACTGCTCGAGATGATCGTGAATGGATAAAACCTTGAGTAGGTGTGTCATTATGACGCCATAGAATACCTACTTGCAGTCTTTCCAGAACTTCGCTATCCTGCGTCTTGCGTAGACAAAGGATCCTTCTTAGCTACCAATTAGGTAATTTAAATATCTAATTATAATACGCACCTCACGCTCCTCACATCGCCTTGAAAACCGGGAGGAATCAGGGTGTAGTTTAACTTCGTGATATTGTTACTGTCCTTTAACATATCGTTGACAGATATTACCCACTCCATATTTACACAAAAAATTAACGAGTTTATTGAATCACAAAAGTATTTGCAATATTCAGATTAACAAAAAAAGTAAGCACTTTTATCCAGATGATACTACAAAATTTTGCTCGCTCTCCGCGGATTGCACAGATTGCACTGCTGCAGCACGACCGACAATGCTGCCATTTGTAAAAAACCAACATGTCAATGTCATTTGGTTATTTTAGTGATGTCCCTTTTGTAAGTTAAAACATTTTTTATAACATAAAATCGTGTCCGAAAATTTTATACAGTGTGAGTCTTGCTTGATAAAGTGCACAATACATAATTATGAAAATAGGTGAAACTAGACCTATTTTTGTTGACAAAAAAAGGTCAAAAAATATCAAAGTTATTTTTTTATTTTTTATAGAATTTTGTTTCTTTCAATTACTTATTGTTTGTAAAGAAAATGTAATTACTTTTAAACTAAGAGGTATATCCTGATATAATAAAAACAGTTATAATGCTAAATAACGGGCAATACTAAAAAAATACATATAAAACCCAGAAGATGCCAACAAATAATAATAAACAAGTAAAAAATCTGCTAAAAAAAAATTTTTTTAAAAACACCAATTTATTTTTGGTTATTTGATAAATTTCTCAAAAAATTGCCCCTTTAACAGGTTAATAGGTAGTTTTTATTACTTTGTATTATTCTCTATCGTATTACTTTTGTAAAACCAAAAATCGCATGTCTCTTTCTCTATCACAACTAGAGATGGGTAGTGGGTAAAAACCCATTTCACCCGATTGGGTTAAAACTGGGTGATTTGGGTAAAAACCCGGTTTTTACCCATTATCACCCATTCTGGTGGGTGAAAACAAAAATAGCGTTTTTTTAAAGTGAAAAGTGGTATTTGTTGCTAAGGGGGCGTTCTAGCGTTACGTAATGCAATCTGGGGGAGAGGAGGTCTTGAAAAAAGTTACAATGCGTTACAGTGGCGGAAGGGCGGTTCGATTACAAGTTTTTAAGCAGAAGTACTTTGTAGTTGGTGTTGTTATTTGTAACTTTATACCGTAATGTCATCAAAGAGAGAGTTTGGCATCTTTGGCATCCCCCCCCCCTCCCCCCCCCTCCCCCTCCATGTCCTTGACATGATCACAAATTATTGTGTTCCTACTAAATTTCTTCTAAATCGGTTCAACGATTCTTGAAATAACACCATTTTATAAAATAATTGGTCACATCATCATAACGTGATCAATTTTACGATTTGGCCACAATATAAATGCATATTACTGTTAAATTTGACTTATTACTTATTAATCAATAAACTTAAATGAGAAAAATTCAATAAAAATAAAGAAAAGATACCAATTGAAATAATTATAAAATTATTTGTTTTCACCCGGTGTAAACACCCACGGGTGGAATGAAACGGGTTTTTATTGGGTTTTTACCCTCATGTGGGTTTTTACCCTCATGTGGGTATTTACCCGGGTGGAAACCCATCTCTAATCACAACATTTGCTATGATCGTTTGAACATAGGCCTGCCACCATAATATTATTTTCCACCTCAGGTAGAGACAATTTAAATTTTAATTAAAATGCTTATTTTTCTTCGAAATCTTTTGTTTTTATTTGAAATTTAACTTGTCTCTATCAAAATTACAAATCTAGAGCCACTTTCAGCTTCTCAGCCACTTCACTTCGTTGTTAACGAAGTGTTGAAGGGTATTTCGCCAAAAATGGTCAATTTTGCCTAATTTCCTTGGTATTAATTTTTTTTTGTTTTTAACTATTTTTAGTTTCCCATTGCATTAAGTAGCAAAAACTAAGCTAATATATCTAAAAGGGGTGTCATAACATAATTCGTTTTAGAAACAAAGTTATAAGGTCATGAATTTTTGGTAGCCAAGGAAATTATTATAAATATTTTTTTCTCTAATCCATTGTTTAGCTGCAAAAAACCGTCCAAAGAAATTGACTTTTTAGTAAACAAAAACCCAAGGAGGGACCTACTTATGCGATTTGTCGCGAAACTGATCAACGAAGTACTGTCCTGCCTCGATGGCCTCTTGGGACGAAATGGGCGAGTGTAACGGTGCAGTGCATTACATTCTAAGTTCTTCCGTTTCGTTACTACAATGGTCGAAATGAAGACCCAGGGAAATTATACTTTTGACTCGGACAAGAACTTAACTTCACTTTATTTCCTTCCTTTAAGTATTTAACATTTAAAGTTTTTATTTTCCGATAGCCAAACGTTTCTCAAATATGAAGAGAGTGTTGTTAGAATGAAATAACGCTTCAATCTGTTATAATGTGCCTTCATTTTGGCAAACAACAGTAATGGACATAGCAAGGAAATTAGAAAAACGACTTTTGATTAAGTTTTTCTACGGTATTATTGGTAGTTTCTGCTATTGTAATAGCAAAAACAAATAAAACTTTTGATGAACTTTCCCATAAAAATAGTTTTATACATATAGATATAAAAAAACATGTGTTCGCCTGCCTGGACACAGAAAATTTACTGTTTTGGCGAAATACCCTGAATGACGCGCCCGGAGCGGCTTAGTTCAAACAATCATTGCAAATGTTGTGTAGGGATAGAGACATGGGATTTTTGTATTTATTTAGCATTATTATTTTTTACTTCTTAGTTTAAAAGTTATTACGTTTTCTTTACAATAAGTAATTGAAAAAAAAAAAATCTATATTTTTTAAAAAAATAATTTACCTACCTACTCGTTTCCCATCTAATGAGCTTAATTACGAAATCGCTTCCCTCCGGCGCCGCGGCGTTTTTGTAACTACTTCACAATCGTTCACCACTACGAGTCCACGACCACCATTTTGTAGCTGTCTATAAAAAAATGCAAAATTTCAATATGATACTGGTAACACAGTTACAAGTGGCGTTGGCATGTCATTCGTTCCTACTTGTCAAAGCTGTCAAAATCAAAACGTTCGTTCGTTCCACAGTTCCACACACAGATCTGTGGTTCGTTCAGTTTTCGGCTTGCTTTGCTTTTTCGTTCATGGTGTCCTAATTTTTGTACACAAATAAAATTGTGTGAAAGATTAATTTAAATTAGATTTCGTTGCACTTCTTCCCTAATTGTTATTGGAAGTTGTGATCTACCTTACTGTATGAAGTAACAGGTACAGTTTCTTTCATTGTTTTGAGAAAATTGGCCGTTGTAAAGCCACCACGCCCTACTCGGCTGTTGATAGGCGCGGCCATCGCCGAAGCCAGTGCTTTGACTTGATTTTTTTCTTCTGCAGGTTGAATTTGAGAATGTCGGCATATGAACCTCAAACTTACTTTACAGGGAATGGTACATACAAAGCTATAAACCCGATTGTGTCAAAAGTGGGCGATTTCACTCCGTTTTACATCGCCATAGCTATTTGTTCAGTTATATTGGGGTTGATTCTCATCCTGAACATTGTTTGCTGCTGCTCGAGGTACTCGGAATATTGGTTGGACAGACACACAGGTTTGTTTATTTCAATCACTAGCCTTTTTTGTTAAAATTTTCTCTTGGTTCTTCTACCTCTCTAATAATAAAACTTTTACAATTCAATCTAATTAGAAATTGCGTAAATTTCACTTCTTATCTTGTTTTTTTTATAAATTATAACACTTTTCAGGAAACCGTTGGATTGTGTCCATCTGGTCAGCAACCCCTCACAAGCAGCCACCTCTCGACTTCACAGAGCTCGAGGGTCAACATAATCAAGTGCAATACGTCCATCAATTCCACGGGGAAGAGTACCACGACTTACACAAACACGAATCAGAGTTTGTACCATCCGTGTCCCAACAACCCTTGACATCTCAGTTGTCATATTTAGAACTGCACAAGAGAGAGAGTGACATTTAAAAAGTCTGAAAATGGCGTTCCTTATGATGTACCCCGCTGTAGCAGTCCTTTCGTTATTTGTTCTGATGGTGATCATCTTGATACTGCGCTTCGGGGCGCGCTGGTGCAAGCTCCGCCACACCACCTTCTCTGATCAAGAGTACTGGAACGATGATGAGGCGTATGAACAGAAAGTGTCATACGCTTGATCAGTCACGTTTATTGTGCTCTTTATCGTAATCAAATTGATAAACAAAACTTGACACCTTAAAAATATTTCTGTAATAGATACTTAAATGTCTTTTAGGACTTGCTGTGTTGTATGCTATATACTATGTACATTACTAATTACTGCTAAAGCGAATTCCTATGATATTGTGTTCCTTCCTTTTCTGCAATGCTAAGTCCATAACTAGTACCAGTCCACAACACACATTGTTGTGTTGTTTGAGTACATAACATAGCATAATTAAGTATGTAATGGCTCTTTCTTGGAGCACAGTAAATTTTCATTATTTATAAAGGTGTAAAGAGATCTTAACAATATTTGGTATTGGTTTTTGCCATATTTTCCATTGCACCCTATAAATATTTTAAAATGTTTCATGTACCTATGTAACATGTATGAAGGCAAGTTTTGTTTATTAATTTTTTAAAGTTTTACACAAGGTGTTATACTCTTATCTCTCTCTTGTTTTACTTATTCTTTTAATTATTCCGTCCAAGTTAGGTCTGACTAGTGTTAAGATGTTAAATGACAGATTTATACTATACAAATAAGATTTTAATGAGAATGACAAGATAAAATGATTCATAAATTTTAAGAAAATCTATTAATTATTTTCATGTAATGTATTTTAGATATACAGGGTGGAAACGATAAGTGATCTCACTAGATTATTTCTAAACTATGCAAGATATCGAAAAACTGGTTACTGATCCTGAAAGTGCTTCACGAGCTCTATCTAACGGTACCAATAATAGGTTACAAAATAAAATGGATCTATCCGAAAATTCAATGTTTCCAGCTTCCATACATTTAGTAAAACCACTTAATATTAAAAACTATACAAGCTATCCAAAAACTGGTTACTGATCCTGAAATTGCTTTACGAGCTCTATCCAACGGTACCAACATTAAGTTACAAAATAAACTGGATCTATCCGAAAATTCAATGTTTCCAACTTCCATACATTTAGTACTGCCACAGTCATGGCACTCATGTCTTGATAATATTATAGCAAGTAAAGCCAAGAACCAATGATTTCCATGAATAATTTTAAATAAGAATGCAATTTACGAGTTCATTTTAAGTGTTTATTATTTAATTAAAAAAAATTACACTTTTCATATTGTGTGGCTGGCATACATTTAGTATGGAGGCTGAAAACATTGAATTTTCGGATAGATTAAGTTAATTCTGTAACCTATTACTGATCAGGGTTCGAAAATATCCGATATTTATTATAAATATCAAAATATCGGATATTTATGATATACTAGCTGACCCGGCGAACTTCGTACCGCCTTAGCGTAGAGATTTTCTTAATATTTTTTTCCGTAAGAACCATCCTTGGACTTCCACAAACATTTAAAAAAAAGAATTATCGAAATCGGTTCAGCCGTTCACACGTGATGCCGTGACAACGCGAAACGGGTTTCATTTTTATATATATAGATATCCGATATACAGGGTGTTGATTTCAATACCCGCCATATTTAGGGAGTTGATTAAGTAGCTTATTCTGATCACGAATCAGCAAAAAAACTGACTTCAAATTTTTTTAAATTATATTTTAAATATCTACGATTTCCATAATCGACCACTACAGTGCAGAATAGTCCCCCAACGCAAACGGCGCGCGGCGCTCACCCCGGTGACCCGGGCAAGCGCTGCGCCCCCCGTCCCGCGCCCCACTACCCGCGCTCGCCCATGAGTCAGTCAACTTTAGCCACAATCAGCTGTGAGTTCAACGACGACTACTGGACGGAGCTTAATCCAAATCTACCCTAAAAATGTAATGAGTAAATTAGTTACTTACACCTTATCACGTTACGAGTTTATTTTTTGTTTTAAAAACTAATTAATTAAGTAGGTCTTTAATAAAAAAACCTTTTACACGAATTTGCTTCCTTCCGCAAAATAAAATTTTTTACAGAAGCTACATTTTTTTTTAAATTAAACCATGCTTTTATGTGTGTGATAAGCTTGTACCTACTTATCATTCAAAAGTAGGTACTGTAAACAGATGACAATAATGCTCTTTCATACAGGTTCGTTATTCCTTACATTTCCAGCTCTCTACCTTAATAACTTTTACGTCTTTACGATAGTAATTATTAAAATAAAACTTAACTTACCGCAAACTGAACACCTAGAAATAACACACTGGCAAACTCTTGTTGCTTCACTTTCAATAGGAGATAAGACAAGATTTTGTTTTTAAACTCGATTGATTACAGTATCTAAACAAAATTTCTATCATTTAGCACTTCTTTCATNACCGGCTTGATATATATCGGATATATATCGGATATATATCTTGATATATATCCCTTGATATATATCCTCGAACCCTGTTACTGATACCGTTAAAAAGAGCTCGTGAAGCTCTTTCAGGATCAGTAACCAGTTTTTCGATATCGTGTGTAGTTTAGAAATAATCGAGTGAGATCACTTATCGTTTCCACCCTGTAGATAGTGAATATCTGTTGTATGTATTAATGTGCATTTATACTAATATAAGAATGCGCGCACACCAAAATAAACCAGCACAATATAAATGTGTGGAAAACAAAAATATTAAAAGTGCAATTACAAAAAATAGGGATCCATTTAGAAGTCCCTTTCGCCGTTTGTTGGAAACTACTGTTACGATTTTGATGCGGTTTATGAGTAACTAGCTAATAGGGACTTCTCGAATTTAAGAAAATGACCTGTATACTCGTAATTAAACCCTCGCGTAACTTGTGCAACTGGCGAGTTTAAATAAAACGCAAAGTTATTCCCATTATCAATGCTCGCTTGTAAATGTATTCTTACGAGATGACTAATTTATTTCAGTAAGAATATTTATTTGCGAAAATTCTCAAGTGTATTACATTTCTTTTGCCATGCATTTATACTTATCTTTTTGTCATGTAAGATAACAATAAATGAAATTGAAAAATTGACTGTTTTTATTCACTTCAAAGTCCTTTTGTTATGTAATTCCACTCAAAACAATCCAAAATGACGATGTTACGTAAATACAATATTCGTCATCGTGCTAAGCACGAGATGACGGACGTTGGGGCAGAAAAGTTTCAAGTGGCGACCACGGGCAGGAAGACGTAGCGGGCAGGCCCCCCACTAATGGACCGACGATCTGGTGAAGGTCGCGGGATGAGCCTGGACCTGGATGTTAGGGAAATCCTTGGGAGAGGCCTTTGTCAAGCAGTGGACTTTGGCTGAAACGTTCTACTTCTATTACTGGGGTCTGGTTGTTCGGTCTGTTGCTGGTTCTGTTCGATTTTTACGAGTTTAAACGTCAGTAGGCCTACATCGATATGCCAAGATAAAAATATAACGAATATAATACAAATCATTAGCAAGTGGACTTATTATGGACAGGTTCCGCACCATTTGTTAGAAGAGAAGAGTTGTGAGGTCAGAGACCTAGAAGGGCTTTAGAAGAATAATTAAAATAAAATTATTGCTATTTTATTATTTTATCACTTGCCGTATAAGCAAACCTTTCCGGAACTCAAACTTGTTTTTTTAATTCACCGCTCCCGTAACTCCCGTAAGTACCCTAGTTTGCCGCCAAATTCAAATGTGACTACACTAGACCTAGACTAGGGTCTGTACCACTATTTGAAACCATACAATATTAGGAGACACTATTTTTTTATATTTAGCTCCCTCACTCGCCCTACAGTCACTAAAAGAGTAAAAGAGAAATCTATATTATTTTATCTGAATCGACTCTGTCTAGATGTCAGCTAGATAGTCGATTAAATTAAACTCAATGTCTCGATTAATTAGTACGATTTGGGGGAGTGGTCCGATCGCCGACGATGAACGAGAAACGAGTAGAACTAGAAACTATAAACGAGTTGGCGATCAGCGGGAAGCGAGTGTATAGTTTCGATAGTTTTATCGTCGGGCTATAAGCGAGTGTGCGAGTGCGACGAGCGATTACTCGCGCCACTCGCCGCGGTCGCTCAGTCCTCTGCAAACCTCAATGATCAAGTGAAGAAACCTGAGTTTAGTTATGAAAGCTCGTCGCTCAGCGACACAACTAGTAAAACGAGTCGTCGCCGGCAGTGAGAACAATCAGAGATTAACTATTTGTAAATGCATCTCTTTTGTTCACACGGAATGGTATCTTTCGTACGTTTCTTGAGCGAGAAAATAGCCGATAGTCGTTTCCTCGCCGGCGGTGGGGCCACTACGTGGAGTATCATGATATAGACCGCAGACTTGCCATGCAGATGCGCCAGTGAGTACTAACCTGCGGGCCTTGTGTCACCCCCTGATGCTTGGCACCCGGGGCGGACCGCCCCCACCGCCCTCCCCTTACGCCGCTACTGGCAAAACGTGACAGGTTGTATGTATTGTCGAAAAGGCCTTAGCTCCGGCGTTTTTTGTATGGAGTTACATCGCTCCGTGAACGGATCCAATGTTTGATTCAATCATAAAGTGCCACTTGTGTAGAACTGTAGATCTACAGAACCACTACTACAATCTATCTATATACTGTATACTTCTCGGATTGGGAGGGGTCTCATATTCTGAATTCAATAATTGTCACATCAGTGTATGTGTTCGCATCAACTTGCTTTATTCTGCTACCTGGATAAAATATTCAATCAAAGAATCACTAAAACTCGTTTAATTTTTCTAAAAAAATCAACTAATCAACTTGTATTCGATTCTGTTTTTTAAACTGGCAAGGATATGTTTTATTATGGCAACTCTAGATTATTTTTTTATTATCTGTGCACTGAGATTCCACTCAACTCCATCAAGTTCACTCACTTCGCTGGTCTATTTATCTCCGAGAACCGGGGGAAAATAATATTATTTTTTTGACAAATATATTAATTTTATACCGATTATTAATATTTAACGATTCGTAAAGTTTACATTCGTATTACTCATGTAGATTAGTGATAATTACAGTAATTTATGCGCTATCGAAAATGTCAAATGTTCCCGTAATTTGTGAATGGCCGTGTTTTTCGTATGTCAATAAAAAGTGTTTTGCCGTTCTATTACATTGAACTACGATGTTGCTGCGAAAGAATGCGATGATGGACACGATCCAATGGAGAAAATGGTTTCTTTTGTTTATAATCACTCTGTGTCGAACGCTGGATTCAATCAATGGTGAGTGTTTTTCGTCACCCGCGAACACGCTAATCTATTATTTTGGCTGTTTACAGTTATTGTGAAATAAAGCTAGACCTAGCCGGAGGCTATCAGAATAGAGGCCATCGTGTTTCATGATCAGTTCATGCTGTATTGGTAGAATTTGTATTCTTATCTAAAACTTTGGTTGTCTTTCAAACTTCTACTCTCCCAACTTTTCAACTTTATTTATGCTGATTTTAATATATTGGAATACATTCTTAGTTGATACGCAATTAGAGTATTTTATAAATATTGGTAGATCTATGATTAAAACATTTGATAAGTTAAATTTTGATAATATAAAAAGTTTCTTGGTTAGATAAACAACACATACAACAAGTAGGTATGTAGGCACTAAAAGTATTGTTGGAAGTTCAAAACAAGTAATGACTCATTTAATTGTTTACATATAAGTTAATATTGAATGTGGTAAATAAATGTCAGTAATTATTTTATTAAAATTGAACTTTTCATTATTGTTAAAATTCTATTTCTACAAATGTTATACAATCATAAGTTGAAAAAAAATGCAATATTACTTTTAATTGCTTTTTACTTTGTTTACTTCATGCAATTGAAAATTGCAGAAAATTGGTTTTATGCATATCACTGAAGATAATTTGTGTTAATGAATCTTACGACACAAACAAAACAATCTCATTGTCCCTAAAATGACAAAAATTAATATACAAACTCAATAAAGCATTGAATCTTCTAAGAAAATATAGAATAACAATGATCTGATTTGAATAAGAATAACATAATTATGTCATAATAATTATGTTAAAGAACATTATTTGCTATTGTCTTAAAATATGCAATTCTCTTATCTAGCCTTTAGCTTGCAGCCGAATAGTAACTCATTATTATGCTAAGTTGTTGCATTCTTTTGTAGAACTATCTTTTGCTTTATCTCTTTCCTGATAAACTCAATGTAATTACCACTTAGGGCATGATTACACTTCCTGGCCACCAAATCATATAGGGTTTCAAATTCATTGATGATAATAATTTGTGTGATTATTATCATCAATGAATTTTTAATTATTAATTTGTATGAATTTATTATAATATTAAGACTAGGCTGTGCATCAGGATTAAAAAAAAATGACTTGATAGTAAGTCTAAGTATTATGATTATTGACACTGTTTGTTTGGTTTGTGACAGCACTAAAATGCTACTGCAACAGCGAGACATGCCCGAACAATACATGCGAGACAGACGGCTACTGCTATGCTTCCACCAGCCTCGAGAATGGTGTCCAGAAGTTCACCTTCCAGTGAGTACACAGCTTATCACATACAACTCTATTGAAATTTATTTATTGAGTAATTTCTTAAAATCAAGAATATAATATTCAATTTTTCCAAATTTTTTGCAAAAATTTTGTAAGCTTGTTCCAAACTAGTGGTACATATTTGGTTTAGTAAAAACGATTGGCAAACTCATTTCAACTCAATTGAATGAACTAACTCCAGAGCATATCTTAACCAATTTTCATGGGATTGTGGTCTTTAGCTGTTTGAATGCCAAAGAGGCCTTCCCTCCCGATAGAGTGTTACTATGCCAAAGTCCAGCATATTGCTGTCAAAACGATCGGTGCAATTCCGACGACATTTACCGAGACAAGCTGGCCAAGGCGCCGCGCGCCGCGACCACCGGTAAGGCGTGCCTCCTTGACTGCAGATTTGAGTTTGTTTGATGTCCTATTAGACTCATAATTGCATCATTTCCTACAAGTTTTGTTTTGAGATGCCAATAACAATATCGCTTCTGAGTTAGTTTTGAATATGTACTACTAAGCGGCAAGTTACGTCGAGATATTTAGTATGTTTGAATGATGTGCGATAACATAAGTTTCGAGTGTGCGTTGGTTTCGCTTTAACCTACTAAACATATACATGGTGGTTCCAATCGTGGCGCAGCTGTATCGACCGCGTATTATTGATACCGCCCGAGCACCCCTTCCGTTGCTCGACGCCGAAGACGAGAAATGAGTCGGTTGCGATCGAATGTTGCAAAAGCGACATGTGCAACAAGGGGCTGCGTCTGGAGCTTCAGCCTCTGCCGCCAGGTAGGCGTGGACGACTCCTCTCCGCACCAAGTTCTGCGCGACCGCTTGGTGTTAGCTCACAAATGCATGGCTAGTTTTTTTTCCTTTTGTTCTAATCCGACTAAGTTCTTCCTTAGACCGGCACTGATCACCTGCAGAGGCTAGTAAACAGCAACTTTAGTCACTAAGAACTCTATGCTAGCATAATAGAAATGTAGAAAATGTAAAAATAAATCAAAGATATCAACAGTAGCTCAGGACAGATTCAGTTTTGTGTTTTCAATGGCGGTGGTGGGTGGTTGACTGTTCGACTTGTTCACCACCGCTCATCACCCGCAGTTGAACTCGGGGTTAGCAGCGGTGTGTAGCAGATCACTAATGTGTCGGTTTGAACGTAGATGTTGGGACCGGAACCCCAGTTGGTTCCCCCCCGGGGACATGCCCATTTGGTGCCGCAAGGACGAACACCCCGATATCTCGTGCTGTGGCTCGGACTTCTGTAACCGATACTTGATGGCGCCAGCAGGTACGGGAGTATGCTTGTGCTGTCCTGTCCATTGTCTTGTCGAGTCCCATCTCGCAATCACGGTGTTCTAACCTCGAGCTCGGTCAATGCCATTGCAATGAGGACAATTAAACACACTGGTGTTGCATGTGACGGACCTCTTACACATAGTATCCCCTTTTTTGATTGCGTAACTTTCGCCGTAAGATAGGATGAGGTTCCAGAATCTACGGTCCGATATCAAATCTATCAATTCAGTTATAATTTAGTCCGTGATGAGTGTGTAACACTTCTCTTCTCTCTACTGTGCAAGAGGTCTACGATGAAATGGAATAAAAATCGATGTATTACACAGCTCAACAAAAAAAATTTTTTTTTTGTTGCCCTGGTTATTTCTTCGGATTTATATACTTTGAAGCATACAATTTACGAATGTATTAACGAAAGTACTGAATTGGCTCTAGTTTTTATGATATTAATGTTTAAGTGATAAACAATTTATATGGGCTCTTTGAAACATGCGTTGTTAATAAGTGACCAGGAACCTGGACTAAATTAGTTTTTCTGCACAATTTTAAACGTAATGGGACCAGATACTATCAGTAAAAATGATATAACGATAAAATAATGTCATTACCACTGACAATGTGGTAGCTGGAATCAAGGAATGGCGGTTATAGTGCGACAAGGCTATTAGTATGTGGGGAGATTTAGAATGTCATTACCGAAGGAAGCAATGAAGGTAATATTGATGTCATTACTTGTCAGATTGTCTGGACGCCTTAGATTTTTACTTCGCCTTACACTTATACGTCTAATACCCATTTTGTATGTATATGGAACTATAGGGCAAAGAAAATTCACTGGGAACAAGATGTGTGGGCAAATTCGAATATACATGCACAAACTTATAAAAAGCTATTACTTATTCTGTATGTGAAGCTTGGAGAGGTTTAGTGTTGATTGTAATCTTTTTTAGGTAACTAGAAAGCACTAAATTACACAGTTTATTGGGCAAAATATGTCGAAGCAAGTATAAGCATAATAAGCTGCACTTTCTTCGCAGTCACGTGGGTAGATGTTTATTTATTTTTATTAAATTGCAGTGACGAGAAGGTATAATGATTCTATCAAGACGTAAGAGTGATGGAATAAAGATATCAAGGTAGATAGGATAGTTTCCTAACTGATTAAGTAATGTTGGTCACATAGCGAAATTGACCCACAACATTTAAGTAAAAAAAATCTATAAAAGGTGTTTCTCTGAAATCTAACATTATTTATGCATTTTTTCAATCTTTTTACTTCTCTGAAAATTAATTAAAACCATTCAAAACAAAATTTGAGGTTCTTATTAGGTAAATTTGATTTTATAAAATGTAATTGCTTAATTTTCTGCTATTTATAGTGTAATCAGAAAAAGACGATTTAAAAAAAAACTAGAGCCAATCTGCTAAAAGTAATAATAGTTTCGTAAATTGTGGGTCTCAATTGACACAAAATCATTTAAATATCAAGGGCAACAAAAACACTGTTGACCAGTGTTATCAATATCACAGAGGGTTACTTATGCCTGTTCGTGGGCAAATGAATGCAAAATAGGTTTAATGTAATGTTGCACTTGGGATTTATATTATAGGAGATAATTTCAAGGGACATTAGTCCATGGGATCGATAGGTTTAGCGGTCGTCTTGCTATGTTCAAGGTGGAGACTTTTCACATAGCGACGACTTTCCCATCGACTCCATGTAAGTGATCATGCCGGCCACTTTATTTTCTTTTGCATGGTTTTTTCACACATTTTTATTGCATTCTTTTTATACTATCTTTTAAAGTTAGCTAACAATTAACATCATTATCTAAAACCGTTGGTTATGGGAAAAATTAAAGAACATTTGATTCTTACAAAATTTCGGTTCGAATCGCCATTGTAGTGTTTTTCGATAGCAATGGTTGACAAAAGCATGGTAAGCCTGACTAACCCGAGCACCTCACGTATTAAGGTAACACCAATATTTACTACATGATCTTGTATGTTTTTGTTTGTGCATGTTTTGTGTTTTTTTTATTTGCATTTGAATTTTACCTTATCGTGTTTTTGTTTTTATGTTTTTAATTATTTATGTGATTTTTTGCAGCTGTGTATATTATATTAGTTTAAAGTCGGATGCGTTGTTGCTTCTCATAAAAATGTTGCATAAGATTATTAAAAGTAAGTAAAGTAAGATGATTCGCATTTCTTTTTCAACAAAATGTTAAACGAACTTATACTGAACTGATGACTCCATCGTATCGTGCCTACGTTTGCATTGAAGCGAAGTGTCCCAGAAGGTGCCAGAAGCATCAACTCAATCGCACAAACAACGCATCCGATTTGATAGTACTTTTGAATTCTGGTTGAAATGTTTCAAATTAGAACAGTAAAGCAAAACTATCCATCCCCATCGTGAAAAATGCATGGAAATTGATATTTTTGCGTTAAGTGCACCTAACCTAAGTTACTAAAATGGCAATGTACCTCAAACTCTTATGAGTACGTAATCAAAGGCTGATTTTTTAATTCATAGAAAAACATATTTGGCGGTTTTAATTTTTTTTAATTATGATAGTCACTCGTCAACAAGAAAGTAACTTATCAAATGAAAAATCGACCGTCAATGAAAATCAAGTTACCTAGAAGAACGCGAGATCTAGTTAAAAAGTTGGTAGCGGGCACACGGAACTAACAGTGCGGTAGGAATCGGTCGGGTTGGTAACTGGTGCTGCTGATGGCAACTCGATGATTTAAATTGGTATATTGATCTGGGGCTACTGTTTAATTTGTACTGTGCCCGTGACAGGTAATCATTGGACGTGTAATCGCGTTTATTCTCCATCTGTTTCGGGCACCTTTGAGGTGGTTTGGCAAACACCTAATGCTATGGTTAGATTTAAGGGGCTAATTGCCTTGTGGCATGCTGTAGATTTGTATAAGACTAGACGATTGACTTCAATCGATCCCGCTCAGTGCCGCTCACGAGTGTCGTTAGAAATAATGGGGCTTAAGGCTAGGATTTACCGCCTCGATGCCATGCAATCGTTTTCCTCAGCCCCCGCACACCTCACGATGACACTCGCGCTGACACTTGCGCGACGCGTTGACGCCACAGTGTACAAACAAGCCGTAATTAAGTTGGATTAAACCGTAATCTTCAATAATAAATAAATATAATAGTGAATAAATAAATAATAAATATCCTTCGACATAATATTTTAACACTGCGCCTCTAGTCTCAAACTAAGCAAAGCTTGTACTATGGGATATAAAAATACTTAAATACTTTTTTTGTAAATAAATACATATTATGGTTAGAAAACACCCAGCCCGAAACAAACATTATTATAATGTTCATGCACACAAATGTTTGTCAATCAATAATGTCAAATGAAAGATGATAATAATAATATTAAGTTAAACAAATACTTTTTACCGACAAAAATAGTAAATGATCACAAAAATTTAAACTCCATTTCAATATGAAATACTAATGTTCTTACATTTTGCTATTCTATTTAAGCAGAATTGATGACTCGCCCTATATTCTTTCGTCATCAAAAAGTACCTAAAATTATCATCTAATTGTAAATTATGGCAACTATTTCCACTTAATTATTTGAAAATATAAGGCAAAAATGTTTAAGTTTTAGACTAGGCGCACACCGTTGATTTTTAGTTGGCCGATAGTTGTGCCCGATTTTAATTTGTATGAAGAATCGGCCAAATCGAATCGGCGTAGTGTGCGCACTCCCATTCATGCCCATACTGATCAACTGCCCGACTAAACTATCGGCCGACGAAAAATCAACGGTGTGCGCATACACTTACAAAACTATGAAGAGCAGTTATCTCGAAAACCATACAAGATATTTTATCGAAAAACTTGACTGAAAAAAGTAGTAAATTAAATGAGTTTTCATTTTGTTGCAGTAGTCATATCGCTAGGACGCATAGTTATTTATTTAGATAGTTTCTGAGATATAAGCGAAAAACCCAAAAATGGGACCTTCAAAGGCTGCGATCGAGAACTTTTGTCATTCACTTAAGTTACACGTGTTTTATGAGTTCGGTGATTTTTGTTTGTTAGGAAAAATGGATCAAAGAATTTGAATCAAGATTTGCTTATGAAATGAAAATTAAATGTTTTCATTTAATTTTGAGTGTGTTTGCAATGTTAAAAATGGTCTTTGGTGAGTCTGCTGTGAGTGAATCAAGGGTTTACGAGTGGTAAAATCGTATCTAAGAATACCATGAAGGCATAGAAGATGACGAGCGCTCTGGACGCACCAGCATATCAACAACCGATGAAAATGTGAAAAACAGAAAGAAGTGGTTATGAAACACCGTCGAATCACAATTAGGGAAGATGCTGATGATGTTAGCATAATATCGTTTGACTCATGCTATGAATATTTTTTGGATTTTTGTCGGTATGAAACACATGGCAACAAAATTTGTTCTAAAATTGCTGAATTTTG